TCTCTCCTTGCCACTCTGCTCCCTCCACAGTAGCCTTGAAGGTGGGTTTTGGTTTAAATCAACCCTGTAGTCACATGAGTTCCCTTGAACAATGCCTGCTACCCCTCTCCTCACACACTGTATCCAGCTCCATTTGCCCTGAGATGAAGTTCAGACTGAGGGGCTTCCATGTGTGTCCCCCATTACTTGCTCTCCTGCCTCCTGCCCCTTCTCACCAGCCTTCTATCTTCTAGCCTCAGTGTTCACTCCCCTGTTCCCTCCCCATGCCCAGAGGGACCCTGCTCCCCACCCTGCCCTCCCACCTGCAGCCCTGTGACTACCAGCTGCCCAGAACCTACCTTTAGGGCTCTGCTGTTTTTCTGCTTCCCAGACCTATGCATAAGCCCGCACAGGTGGTGGGGGAGGCACCCACCTCAGCGTCACATCTGTGTTCATGCCCCAGCTCCACCACTTGCTGGCTCCGTGACCTTGGGGATAATAGCTCATTGGATCGTGACGAGGATTAAGTGAGGAACACTAAGAAAACTGCCAGATTCTTTGCCTCAGTGTTGAATAGAAGCCCAGCTAAGTGTTAAGAGTTTCCTTTCTTCCTTTCTGGAGGCTCGTGGTAAATGCTCAGTAATGAATTTTCTCATCCTCATTTGGTTGAAAGAGGAAAAATACATCTCAGTGCTTAATCATGTGGTACTAAACTACCAGAAGATTACAAGAATATTTCTGAGCATGAGCTTCGAAGGAAAAAAGCTCAGTAATGATTTGGCTGCTTATTTTTAATAAAATCCTGCCAGTGGAGCTGAATCTCTGCCCTTGGAACAGGCTCTGCTCTGCTGCCGTAGCGTGAGTGAATCGTCACTGGAAGTGTGACACAGTGACCTTGAGGCCTGAGCTTTCTGGGAAGGAAAGCTCCTTATGGGGTCCTGCAGCTGGTGGAAGCAGAGGGTCTCGGCCCTTCCCACCTGCCTACCTGTGCTCTAATGCACTGCTGTGTCACCTGCCGCTCTGACCTCCCCTTGGATATGGCTGCATGGTGGTGCCTAGCCAGGTAACAGCTCCATCTGTCCTGCTTATCCTGCAAGTGAGACAGGGTAGCCATGTAGGTGAGGTGTGGGCTCTCCATTTCCAGGTTCTAGTGCTTTCCATCCTGACCAGTTGTTAAGGATAAAATGGGATAAGGAAGGAGCTTCTGCCCTTCGGGGTGAAAGTAGCTTTACACAGGGCAGACACAAAGTCCCATGAAGATCTTACCCAGTGCTGTGACAGACTCTGGGCAGAGGTGACAAGAGGAGCTCCTTTTAGTAAGTCTGCCTCCAGCGCTCAGAAGCTGCCCAGAGTCTTAAGTGCAGAGGGCACCCTTTCCCTGAAGTTCATGTCCAAGACTGTTGCCCACGCTCTGCTCTGGGAGTAGATCAGTGACCTGAAGACCAGTGAGCTCAGGAGCCTCAGAACGGAGTGAGAAAGGAGGCCCTACATTCCCAGATTCGTGGGCTAAGACTACTGACCAGAAGTGAAGCGCCCAGCTGTGTGCCCCAAGGGCTGTCAGAGCTGGGCGGCAAGTGAGAAGGTGGCCTGGATGCAGGGGAAGAATTCTCAAGGAGAGGGGTCAGGGAGTATTTGGGGGAGGGAGGAGGATTAGGCACATCTGTAGGCCTTAATCTGACTAGCCGTACACATCTGAGAGAAGGAAGTTGGGATGCTTTGATAGGTAGGGTACAGATGGGGAGAGACTTAGGGACCTTGGGCATGTGTTGCCAGAAATGGGGAGTTACGGAAGGAACCTAAGCAGCCAAGCCAAGTTCAGTCAGGGATCTGAACCTCATTATCCTGGCTGTGTGAAGAGTGTGAGTGACTCCCGAGAGGAGAGGTCTTGCTTGTGGACACCAGAAAAAAGCCTGAAGAATAGGGTGAAATCATTCCCATTTGCAGCAATGCCAAGAATGAGTTCCTTCTGTGGTCTAGACCTTGGCTAGTGATGGGCCCCACCTGTTCAGACCCACTCATCCTCACTTCTTCATGCTGTATTTCCCAGTTCCTGGTACCTGGGATACCTTAATTCCCAGTTTCTCAACCTCTGTATGGGGCCAATCACCCCCAGATAGGGAGAATCCCAAACCTGCAGCTGGTCCCAAGATAAAGAAGCCTTGGGCCCCCAGAAGCCATTTGCCTGAATCTCACTGACACTCATGGTGCAGTCATGAGCTGGCAGAATCCTGGAGCCCAGCCTGACCCACAGACACCAAGGAGAGCCTGGGGTAGGAGCTGAGTTCCTGGTCCAGCAACCACATTCCAGCCCATCTGAGCTCTGACCTTGGGCCAGTAGCTATCAACTTACTTGCAGTGGTGTCAACAGAGGGCACTATGAGTCCCTGGGGCAGCTAGAAGGGGAAGAACTTAGACCTCACTCTGGTGGGTAGGCACCACATCTCTTGCATGTGCTGCTGGCATGTAAATCCTGTGTCTGGAACAGCCTCTAGCACACACCTAGAACATGCTTTGTAGTTACTGAGTATACATGCTACCTGTTGTGGAGATGCCCAGAAAATACTGGCCCTGGCCAGGACCCTGTACCTAAGCATTCCTCTTGTACCATCCTAACTAACCACTTGTTTCCTGAGATTTTTTTCCTACCTGGATGTGATCTTGCAGGCCACTACTAACTCATGGTCAGTGGTTGGTGTAATGAGGAGGAATGACTGAGTATTAGAAGAGATTCCTGGATTTCTGGGTTCTCGGGGACTCCATAAACTTCCAGTGCCAGTTGCAAGTGGGGTCCTTGTGACATCTGGATTCTGACCATTTGGCCACAAGCCCAGGGGGTTCAGAAGACCTCTCAGATACAATAATTTAGAACAACTCACAGGACCCAGGAAAGCCCTTTATATGTGGTTACAGTTTTATTAAAGGCTTAATCAGAACAAGCTGATGAAAGGACACACAGGAAGGATGCGGGCGGTCCCAAATGCGGAGCTCTCGTGCCCTCTCTCCAGGAGTTAGCCTGTCACCCTGCAGGCATATCAGTGGGCTCGTCCACCAGGAAGCTCCACCAGGCTTTGGTATCCAGAAGTTTTACTGTGATTTTATTATGTAAGCGTGATCGATTGAGCATTGGCCATGTGATAGGAGTCAGTCTCCATCCTCCCTTCCTTCCCTAGAGGTTCAGGCCCCGGCCTTCCGATCACACAGCTGGCAGCCTTCTCCCCAGGCTGCCTGTGGGCTCACCGCCATTGCCCTCGTTAGTGTCATCAGCTCAGGTGTGCAGGAGCTTGGGCAGCTGTTAGAAGAGACTGATGGACGTCTGGGTTCTTGGTGACGCCATAAACTTCCTTTTCCTTTAGTGGCTTTTGGGACTCCACCGATTCTCTTTTCTCCATACTCAGTGGCCCTAGGGAGACATTTCCTAACTCAGGGAATTCTAAGCCATGCATTTGGACTCTCCTGTCCAGAAATCAGGGACAAAAATAGGTCAGAGTAAATATTCATCACACTAGGGGTGGTGGTTGTATTTTTTTCTCTGTCATTATGCTGTTCTGCAAGTATCAACTGTCTGTTGCCTGCTACCTCTTTCCATTTTTAAGCATTTTCTGTGTACCTGGCACTTTTGTTGTCTTATTTAATTCTTACTGTAGCTGTCTGACATCTTCAGTCCTATTATGCTTCTTTAAAATTGAACTGAGGTCTAGAGTTGTGGTGCTCATTTAAAGTTGGTGCAGCTAAATGTACCCCAGTAGGACTTGAACTCAGCTCACCAATTCTGAACGAACGTTGAAGTCTTTTGATTTTAGCTCAAACACTGTACCAGATGCCTCTCTTGGTAGAATATGGCTGTTTTCCCCTTGGCAAGCATTGTGTGCTGGGAGAGGCTAGCACTCGTGTTAACGTGGCACACTACAGAGGCCTCAGAACTGGTAAATAATCTTACCCAAGAGGCTCCGTTGGGTTGCCTTGCACCACCCAGGTAGTGACCACCCATCCACCAGACCAGTCTGTGGAGGTCCTGCTGGGACACAGAAGGAGGCATGATGGAAAATTCTTAGACACTTTGCTTTCTCTGTCAGGCGTAACTGTCCCCAGTAGCTCAGAGCAGAAAGGGCTCTGGGATAGCTCAGCCCAGCAGGTCCTTTCTGAGCCTCCCAGGGCCATGGCAGAGTCATGGCTGGACGGTGTAAATTCCTCTGTGAAAGGCCCGGTATAATAAATGTCCCTTTATCACCCTTCTTCTCCCAGATGGTTAGAAGTGTTACAGTTGGCATTTCTGCCACTGCCAAGCCCCAGGGAATCTGCGCAGGGTTAGGTCAGAAGCCAAGATCTGCAATTTGGGAAATAAGCAGCACTTGTGGGATTCCCAAGAGAGCTCTTGGTTTCTTTCAGCCATACCTGCGGTTCTCAGTTGGGGGCATCACTGCCTCCTACAGGGCATTCGCAGATGTGTGCGTGCACCTGCAGTGGTCACAATGACAAGGAGTCCTCAGTAATAACCTGGTGGGATCCAGAGTTGCTACAGCTCCTGCCCTGAGCTGGACAGTCAGCATGTGTACTGCCTGTGCTTCCTTGGAAAGTCCCTTCCTCACTGGAGCCCAGGCTGAATGAGTGGGAGCCAAACAGGCTCTGTGAGTGTTGTGACCAGGGCCAGGTGGTGTGCCCTGGCACATACAGGCATGTGTGACGAGCACACCTTGTTTTGCACCACTTGCTTTGATTCCTCATGCACAGCTTTGCATTAGTCAGGCCCCCTGGGTCAAGGACGCCCAAGATCTGGGTGGTGGGGATTTGAGGGGCAGAGGAGGGCTCCTCTGCTGAGATGTGACAGGAGGTCCCCTGTGACCCACCTGGCACAGAGATGTGTTGCTTCATTCCAGGGAACCTCTCTGGGGCCTGCCTGCTACTTCTAGGTATCTGTAGTTTTTTGTTACCTGTTTTTCCCAAATGAGATGTGTTTAGATAGACCCCTGCTATTAGGTTCTGCCTTCTTATAGCTCAACACCTCTTTTCTTATTTTGTAGTTGGAAAGACGTCTCTGATCACGAGGTTCATGTATGACAGCTTCGACAACACATACCAGGTAAGATCTTGGGTGTCCAGCCTGTGCCGTACAAACCCCAAGGGACTGTGCCTGTGGAGACCACAGCCACCTCTCTGAGACTTAGAAGGCAGGGATCACGGTGACATGGCCCCAGATTCCTGAGGTGTCTTGATTTGGAGGAGCTCCTCCCACCCTGCCACCTAGATACTGACCCCAGCCCTGTAGAGATCTCAAAACCCAGACCCAGAAGAGGAAGCATTTTGCAGAGACAAATTCTAAAAATAGAGAGAGGTGGCATTTCATTGTGGATTCTCTTGCTCCTCACAGGCAGGTCTAAATCATTGTGATACTTGGTTACTTGAAAGGGGAGTCTTGTCCGTTGGCAGAAGGGCAAGATGCAACCTAACGGGTGAAATGCGGAGTAGGCTTTACTTCTTATACTTTGTTTTTATCCTTTTCTGCTGGATGATTAAGACCAAGATAAGAAGTAAAGCCATGCTGTTATGTTGAGCTGTGGGGGACTCAGGTCAACAATTTCTGACATTGCCAGTGAAGCAGAAGACCCAATACTATTATGGGCTACTGGACTCTTTTAGAATATTTTGCTGAGTTAACACACCTATAATATTCAAATAACAGAACTAAATAAAAAAAGGGGATACAGATGAACGTCCATTTTGTATCTGTGTATCCAAAATGGTTAGAATAGGTATATAGTTACAAGATATATAGTTACATTTTCTTAATGAATAGAGGGATTTGTTCTAATAGTGTTTGTAAATAGGATATCATGTCCACATCATGTACAGCAATTAACCACTAGGAAGAATGTATGCAATGTGTTAATTATTGAAACGGTCATACCAATTTGGTTTGAAACTGTCTCATTGCTATTTGTTTCTCAATAAAATTATGGGGGAAAAAAAAGAAATGTGGAGTAGGTGGAGAGCTTGTTCCTTGGGGGTGTTTCTGTGAGGATTTGCACATACACACACACACACACACACACACACACACGACACACTGAGCATTGCTGAAGCGTTCCTTCCTGCAAGAGACTTGTGTGATGATCTTGCCTGCACTCTGCCAGGAAAAGGCTGGATAGAGTGACCTGTGTGACTCCTGGCTCTGGAATGTTGATTAGTGTCCTCCACAGATGCCTGTGTGTGACCCGAAGCTGAGCTCTCAGGGGTTGTTGCCTGGTACCACTGGTGGTGACTCGGGGAGGGTGGCGGTGGTGGTGGCGGTGGTGTGCAAGTGAAATGAATTTCCCTTCTACTTAAGGCTTTTTGTAATAGGCACCACTGTTTTCTCCCTTAACACAGAGATAAATGATAGTATATTTCTCTAAGTTAGTGGGCTACTAGTTCTAAGAGGTGTTAATTTAAAAGAAAAGGAGGGAGGTGGCCCAGAGTTTGTGTGGAGCTTGAGGGCTCCAGAGGGACAGCTACAATGACACCTCCATGCAGGACTTCTCAGGGTCTTGTCTTCGTCAGTGTGCGGCTTTGATCTGCCAAAAACACCCACTGCACGTAGTGGGGGTTACATCACAGAATTCCATTGTCACCAGATTCTGAAGGACGAGAGCTTACAGACTCACTGGGGACTACTGTTCTAAGAGATCCTTTGTTTGCTCTACCTGGAGAAGGACTGGAGGAGCTTACTGGGACTCCAGGTCTCCATCTGCCTTTCATTCTGTCCTAATGACTGTCTCAGAGCCAGTCGTCCTTGCCTCACATTTCCTCGCAGAGCGCCCTCTCACTTATCTCCCACCTGATTCATCCTGCTGCAGTGTGAAGCATGGCTTAGCCAGACTCAGTAGGAAATGACTGTAGGGGACAAAGGGTGGCTCTGGGAGAGGGGGCCTGAGTGTACCTACAGCCCTAGCTGGGGCTCCAGGGTGTTGGGCTTGGCCATGCTGTTGTGACCTCCGCGTCAGGCCTCTGGGCTCACAGGCTTGCCAGAAGCCTCTCCTGATAAGGGGACTTCTAGACCACTGTGAACCAGAAGTAACAGCTTTAGCAAGTTCTACAGTCTTAATAATGTATATGTATGAGAGAAATCCTATATATTATTTTGATTATTTAATTTTTTTAATATTAAGTTACTCAGCATCCTGCTTATTGTCATCCAGTTGAAAACACTGAGATTCTTGGCTGGTTGGTGTTCTTGGCAATGGTGCGTGAAACTCGCTTGAAATCTTACCCACTCCATCTCCAGCGTCATTCCCATTGTCCACCACTTGTCATGTCCCCACAGCACGGCTGTGCCCTGTGCCCCAGCACTGGCACACCCCACCCCTCAGCACATAGCCTTGCTTCTGCAGGCATGCCCTTTCCTCTGTGCATTGGCTTTCAAAATTCATCTGAGCCACCAGGCCTAGGGCAAATGTTTGCTCTGCCCTCCCTCCTTGACCTGCTTTGCCCAAGCCACTTTGTCCTCAGGGCTAATTTCACTTCCCAGCTCTTGAATCATTCGTTTAGGCTTGACCAAGCTCCCTCAGGCTAGACATGTGTGCAGCTCCTAGGGCTCTTTTAAGGCCGTGGGTATATGGTGCTGTGGTCCTCTGGTGAGGGTCTGTCTACCAGCAAAGCCCCAATGAAATGCCTTCTTGCTGGCCTGGGTTCCTTAGGGGACATCTGCTTCCTTTTGCCTGACACTTACCTCCTTACCCCCAAACACACACACACACACACACACACACACACACACACACACACAGAGGCCAGTGGCCATGGGTGGTGTGATAGATGCCCACTGATACAGAACTCATATGAAGGGGCTCTACCTTGGGTTTTACACCCCATCAGCCTGAGAGGCTTGAAGGCCTAGTGTCATGGTAGGCAGAACATGAGAAATTCCAAAGAAAATTCTCTCCTACCTCAGGATTGTCACCTTTTGGAATGGCACCTGGGCCAAGAAGCTACACTCCATTTCTGTTCACACAGATTCTATTTAATGAATTCTCTGGAGATGGAGAAGGAAACATGATATTTTGTTTGTCTTTCTTAGCTCGGTGCCAAGGTATACAGGAAGTAGGCGAGATACCCAAGGGCCTGAGGGGATTAACTTTTACCTCCTCCCAGGTTGTCCTTCTGTACGATGACCACCCCTGTGACCCCACTATTAATCCCCTATCCATCAAGCAGTATGTCCCTGCAGAGCTGGCCCTGCCTGCCTTCCACAGGATGCACAGACAGTACCCAGGATGGCATCTCCCCTCACTCCTTCCTTTATGTGAGTCTCTGGCCCTGACCACCCCCCCCCATTCTTTCTGACAATAGACACTGACCAGGGGCTTACTCCATTTGCACAGTGGGAAATAGAGGCCTGCCCTCAGCAGCTGTGGAGGGTTGAGGCTGATCTAGGTGACAGTCAGCAGAGCTCCCTCAGGCTAGACATGTGTGCACCTCCTAGGGCTCTTTTAAGGCCCTGGGTGTATGGGGCTGTGGTCCTGTGGTGAGGGTCTGTCTACCTGCAAAGCCCCAGTGAGGTGCCTTCTTGCTGGCCTGAGTTCCTCAGGGGAGGTCTTTTGTTTCCTTTTGCCTGACACTTACCTCCTTACCCCCAAACACACACACACACACACACACACACACCCCTTTGCTCTTCTCTCTTTTTAAAAATCATTTATTTATTTATTTACTTGGTATAGGGTCTCACTATATAGCTCAGACTTGTAATGATCCTTGTGTCTCAGCCTCCCCAGCGCCGGGATTACAGATGTGTGCCATGCCTGGTTTCAATGGTCGGTGAGGCATGTAGTACCAGAGATCAAACCCAGGACCTTGTGCTTGCCAGGCAGGCGCTTAGACCACCGAGCTATCTCCCCACCCCCTTTGCTCTTCTTTTGACATGTGTACTGTGGCCTGTTACCACCCCACCTGTCACCCCATCTAAATCCACTAACTTGCAAAAGTGAAAAGTGAAGAGCTGTAGTCAGCTGAGACCCACATCTGCCATGCCTCTCTTAGGTAAAACCTCAGCTAGGAAATGGCCTTCAAAATTTGTTGTAGAAAAAGCCTCCCATGGGCTGGCCAAATAGCTCAGTGGATTAAAGCACCTGCAAGCCGGTGCAGGGGCCAGGGGTTCAATCCCCAGATTTGCCATGCTAGACGCACCCCTGGGGTACCCTGAGACGGCAATTGAGACTGGGCGTGGTGGCACATGCCTGTAATCCCAGCTCTTGGGAGGCTGTAAACAGGCGGATCACTACGAATCCGATCTAGTAGTGAGACCCTGAACACCCTGTAGACCCTTTCCTAAAATTAAAAAAAAAAAAAAGTAAAAGTCTCCCAGCCTGCATTGTGCTGAGACTCGGCCTGCTCTGTGGGCCAGAGCCAGCTGCCTTCCTCTCTCCTGGCCAGCTGCATCTATGCTGCTGTGGAAGTGAATAGGAGACGGCAGGCCTCTGCAGGGGGCTGCTGGGGTATCTGGAGGGTACGGTGTTCTGCTGGGGCCCGTCACAGGCTGTTTCCTGGCTGCGCGTTACCATTGCCCATTTCTGGAATGATTGGGATAGTCGCAGGCCAGCACAGGCATTGGCATTTTAAAAACTCAGATGTGATTGAGATGAGTATCGAGGCTAGGAGCCACTGGCCTACCCCTGGCAAGTAGGCAAGCTAGGAAGCCGCTGACCTGTGGAGTGTGCCAGCTGCTCGAAGGAGGACATGCTGGAGGGTGGGCTACTTCTCTACAGAACGGGTAGGTTTGCCTTGGCCTGGTCCCTCCCCACTCCACAGAGCCTTCGGGGAAGGAACAAATGGGCTGTTTGCACAGGGCTCCTGAGAGGCTCTGGCCTTACCTTGACTGTCTCTTCTGTTTGCTCTGCCCTGCAGTGTTCTGCTCTCAGTTTCTGGGGCTTTCAGAACAAATGAGTGCAAACTAGTGGCTTAAAACAATAGAAATTTATTCTCTCACATTTCTGGAGGCCAGAGCTTTTTTAAAAGGCAGGAGGGCCTTGCTCTTCCTGCAAGCACTAGGACAGCACTCTTCTTTGTCTTCCCCAGCCTCTGGAGGCACCAGCTGCTCCTGGGAGA